CTCCTCTAGAATGAGATGGAAACTACTCAGCATTTCCTATACTGATCAATTTGGCCAACACATGTTGATGGAGTTGCCAAAGCGTGCTGTGAGGGATACAGAGTAGAAGAGACATCCCAGCCAGGCTCGGTGGCTCAACCTGTAATCCCACGCTTTGGGAGGCTGAGGTGAGTGGATTGCCTGAGCCCGCGGGTTTGAGACCCACCTGAGCAACTTGGCGAGACCTCATCTCTACAATAAATCAAAAAATTAGCTGGGGGTGGTAGCATGCGCCTGTAGTTCCAGCTACTTGGAAGGCTGAGGCAGAAGGATCGCTGGAGCCCAGCAGGTCGAGGCTGCGGTGGCCGGGAGCGACCACTACACTCCAGTCTGGGCGACAGAGTGAGACTCCAACTCAAAAAAAAAGAAGAGACATCCCTTTTGCTTCTGGGATTTACTGTGCCATTGGTCATGTATAAAATAACTGAGTTCTCCAACAGTCCTATAAAATAGGAATCATTCCTATTTTTACAGATGAGGTAATAGGCCTGGAGATGAAATCTCAGTTTGTATTGATGGTGCTTGGATATAAAGTCAGATTTGTGTAATTCTCCCAGTCTCTCTCCTTTTCCAGAGAGGCCAGAAAAGATTCCATGGAAGAGATAGGATGTGAGGTGGAGCTTGAAGAAGCTGTAGGATTCGGCTTAGAACAGGAAACAGGATGAAAGTATAGAGATCGCCGGGTATGATGGCTTGAGCTTGTAATCTCAGTTACCCAGGAGGTTGAGGTTGGAGGATCACTTGAGCCCAGGAGTTCAAGCCGGCAGTGAGCTATGATTGTACTATTGTACCACTACACTCCAGCCTGGCAACAGAGCCCTGTCTCCAGGGGGAAAAGAAAAGAGGCATGTGGTCATGGTGCCTAAGTGCTCTAAGCCCAATGAGAGGGGAACAGCAAGCCAAGTAGGGCTGGGGGGTTTTGAGCTGGCCAACAAGCGGTTGGTTTGTAATCTTGGTTTGTAATCTCAGTTCCTATACAAGGGGAAGTGAAATGATGCCTTGGTCAATGTGGCAGGAATATAGAGACTGAATTGGTGGAAGGAAAGTTTGGAAAGTTTGGAAGCAAGATCAATTTAGGAATCTGTTTAAAAAGCCCAGGTGTGAGATTAGGAGCCTCCATTAGGGGAGCAATAGTGGAAATAGACAAAAAAGGATTTGAACCTGAGATGGAAGATGAAGGACAGGAAAGATTTTTTTTTTTTTTTTTGGTCACAGGCACCTTTCCTGTAATGAAAGATCTTTAGAACACTAGTCCTATAAGGTACACCTCAAAACAGATGTGTGCTCAGATATGTTTGGGAACTGAAGCATATTATATAATTCCATTTCCTTGAGACTCAAGGTGAAGATTAGCATACTAGGGACTCCAAGAATTCCTGCAGGAAACCTGTTTACTTACTTGGTTCATTTAACCGTTATTGTACTGGATGCTTTCCAGCATCCTCTGTTCATGAGCATGGAACTGGTATCTCTAGGAACACCCTGGGGAAAGCGCTGCTCTAAGGTTTGCACCTGGCAGGGAGTTCAATGGTGAAAGAGCTGGAAGACTCAGCATTTTCTTTGTCGGAGCCTTCATTCATGTACTGGTCAGAGACTTCATGGAAAGTATTGAGAGGTGATTGAAAAATTGGTGAAGGGCAAGGAACCTACTGTATCTTGTTCTAGGCCTTCTTCCATTTGTGTATTTGTCTAATTCAAGTGCCCAAGAACCCATAAGAGCCTTTGTTCAATTAAGCTGTTTTAGCCGCAGGCCTCAGGGACTCAGCTGGCCTTTCATCTCTTCAACCCACCACTCTGATTCTTATGTCCTCACTGTAATACGCAAGCATAAGTTTGGATTCAAATGAACTGAGTTTGAATCCTAGTTCTGTCACTTGTAAGTGCCCATAGGCAGGTCAGTTGAAATCACCAAACCTCAGTTTTTATGACCTATAAAATAGAAATAATTAATACTCATAGGTTTATTGTGAAGACTGAATGAAGTACATATTAAACATCTATTATAGTGCGTGGTAGGTCTTTCAATAAATGGTAGTTATTATTACAAGTAAACTAAGGTTTGGTTGCAGATTTCTTTGTTAGCTCTGGTGACAAGTTTGTAAATCCTTTTAATTTTAAGAGTCTGTTACTGTCAGGCATGATGGCTCATGCCTGTAATCCCTGCACTTTGGGAGACCAAGGCAGGAGGATTGCTTAAGCTCAGGATTTCAGGACCAGCCTGGGCAATGTAGCGAGACCCATCTCTACAAATAATTTAAAAATTAGTCAGGCTTGGTGACACATGCCTGTAGTCCCAACTACTCAGTAAAAGGCTAGGGCAATAGGATCTCTTGAGCCTAGGAGGTCAAGGTAGCAGTGAACTATGATGGCACCACTGCACTCTAGCCTGGGTAACAGAGTGAGACCTTGTCTCTTTTGTTTGTTTGTTTTTAAGTTGGAGTCTCACTCTGTCGCCCAGGCTGGAGTGCAGTAGCACGTTCACAGCCACTGCAGCCTTGACATGCTTGGTTCAGGTAATCCTTCCACTTCAGCTTTCCAAGTAGCTGGAACTAAAGGCATGCACCAGCATACCGGGCTAATTTTTTTTTTTTATTATAGAGACAAGGTCTCACCATGTTGCCCACGCTGGTCTTGAACCGTGGGCTCAGACAGTTCTCTCAAATCAGCCTCCCAAAGTGCTAGGATTACAGGTGTAAGCCATTGTGCCCAGCCTGAGACCTTGTCTTTTAAAAAATAAAATAAAATAGTCTTTTACTAATATTCTTAGGGAAAGTGATAACAAAAATAAACACAAAATATTTCAACAAACATTCCTTGAGCACCTGTCATGTGTAAGGAACTCTTTAGTCTCTAGTGATGTAGTGTAAACAGGATAGTCAAAGCCCCTTTGTCAGTCTAGTGTGGAAAAACATGAGTGAGAAACATGTCTGGTAATGACAAAGAGCTATCACTACCTTTATAAATTAAATCAAATCAGGTTGATATAAGAGGAAGTAACTGGGAGAAACTTAAGGTTGGGTGTTTAAGAAGAGGCCTTTCTATGCAGTTACATTTGAGACCCAAACAATAAGAAGCATACCAACCAAAGAGCTACAGAAAGAACATTCCAGACAGGAGGGATCACAGGAACAGCAAGTGAGTGCAAAGTGAGAAAGAGCTTTGTGTATGCAAGGAACAGAAAGAAGGTCGTTTAGGGTGTATTTAAGTGCTTTGGGTGCAATTGAGGGGTTAAGCACTGACAGGAGTATGTTTTATATTTGAAAGATAACAGTACGATACAGAAGTTAAAAAAAAAATAAGATTTCTTAAGTTTTTAGAGTAGACATCCTTGGCCTAAATCTTATTTTTTTTTTTTTTTTTGAGTTGGAGTCTCACTCCGTCACCCAGGTTGTGTGCAGTGGCATACTCATGGCCACCTCAGCGTTGACCTGCTGGGCTCCAGCAATCCTTCCGCCTCAGCCTTCCAAGTAGCCAGAACTACAGGCATGCACTACCATGCCCAGCTACTTTTTTATTTATTGTAGAGACAAGGTTTCATCAAGTTGCCCGGGCTGGTCTCGAACCCACAGACTCAGACAACCCCTTGCCTCGGCCTCCCAAAGTGCTAGGATTACAGGCTGAGCCACCGAGCCCAGCCTTGTATTGAAACTTTAAAAAATTTATTCAAGCCGGGCTTGGTGGCTCAGCCTGTATCCCAGCACTTTGGGAGACCAAGGCAAGTGGACTGCCTGAAACCCCAGGTTCAAGACCCACCTGGGCAACTTGTCGAGACCTTTTCTCTACAATAAATAAAAAATTAGTTGGGCGTGGTAATGCGCACCGGTAGTTCTGGCTACTTGGAAGGCTGAAGCAGAAGGATCACTGGAGCCCAGCAGGTCGAGCCTGCAGTAGCCGGGAGCGTGCCACTGCACTCCAGTCTGGGCAACTGAGACTCCATCTCAAAAAAAAAAAAAAAATATCTATTCAAGTACCACACAGACACACTTTGAATGCCTTTAGGTCTTACAACTTTTAGTTTCTTATGTCTGGGCCCCTATATGCCTTTGAGTATTTAATGATTAATGATTACCAAGTGTACAGGCCTTTAAATAGAGAGCACTTAAACTGTAAAAGACAGGGATGCCAACAGTTACTGTCCATGCACATGAACCTGTCAGTACTGGCTGGGCATGGTGGTTCACGACTGTAATCCTAACACTTTGAGAGGATGAGGTGGGAGGACTACTTGAGTTCAGGAGTTTGAGACCAGCTAGCGCAACATACCAAGACCTTGTCTCTACAAAATAATAAAAAAACTTAACTGGGCGTGGTGACACACACCTATAGACCCAGCTACTCAGGAGGCTGAAGGAAAAATATATATATATATATGTATGTATGTATATAAAATACTGTTTTCCAGTAGGTTTTTGTTTTTGTTTTTTAATATGTACCAGCCAGGCTTGGTAGCTCGGCCTGTAATCCCAGTACTTTGGGAGACCGAGGCAAGAGGATTGCCTGAGTCCAGGGATTCGAGACCAGCTCAGGCAACTTGGTGAGACCTCATCTCTACGATAAATAGAAAGTTAGCCGGGCATGGTAGCACACGCCTATATTTCTGGCTACTTGGAAGGCTGAGGCAGAAGGATCGCCGGAGCCCAGCAGGTCGACGCTGGGGTGGCCTTGAGTGTGCCACTGCAGACAGAATGAGACTCCAACTCAACAAAAAAAGTGTATCAAAGTAGGAAGATCAACAATAGGAAGAAGACTGCAGAAATGTTGCAGTAGACTGGGGTCTTCATAAATGAGATGCCTTCATGGAACATTCACAGAATACTTAGATAGAAATTTATGACACTGCACTTGAATGTGGGGAAGCTCACTTCCAGGGGCATTGGTGTAAAAACTCATCTGTCCTGGTGGTGCAGGACCAGGGGATTAGCCAGCCCAGCAAGTCTCAGCCCTTCTCCTCACATCCATAGGTTGTCTCCAAACACCATGGTGACCCCTCACAAGAAGAGCATGCTGGGAAATGGGAACTACGATGTGAACGTCATTATGGCAGCACTTCAGACCAAAGGCTATGAAGCTGTTTGGTGGGACAAGCGCAGGTAATCTGAATCAGGCTTGACTTGATGGAGAACAGTATGGTTGTGGTACCAGCCTTTGGTACTGGGGCTCATGGCATGAACGGGAGGTGGCCAGCTGTGGTACTACTGTCAAGGAACCTTGGGAAGCTGGTTGCCTCAGAGCCTGACACCATTTCTCCTCTGCAGGGATGTCAATGTCATTGCTCTCACTAATGTCATGGGCTTCATCATGAATCTGCCCTCCAGCCTATGCTGGGGTCCACTGAAGCTGCCTCTCAAAAGGCAGCACTGGATCTGTGTTCGAGAGGTGGGAGGGACCTACTACAATCTCGACTCCAAACTCAAGATGCCCGAGTGGATTGGAGGCGAGAGCGAGCTCAGGTAATCACCACCTGTGACAGCTATGGTGCTGGGCTCCTTTGGGGAACTTGACCTCATCTTTGGTTATTTGACAAAGGAAATGAAATGTCTTTGTCCTTGGATCCTCTCCCTGCCTTACTTAGAATCCAAGGGCCTCAGATTGAAAGACATTAGTCTTTGATGGCCCATCAGGAATTTTCAGTTGCTTTGGCAGGGAAGTTCCACAGCCTGGGATACTGGCCTTCTGGTCTGGGTTGACATAGTAAATTCTTTTCACTCAGACAATTATGACAGTGTACTTGCCAGTTCAGAGAAAGGAAGACATTTAGATCAGAGAGGGCTAAAGTTCCCTGGGACCAAAGAAGTGTTTTAAAAGTCCTTTAGGAGCCAGGCTCGGTGGCTCAGCCTGTAATCCCGCGCCTTTGGGAGGCTGAGGTGAGTGGATTGCCTGAGCCCGCGGGTTCGAGACCTGCCTGGGCAGTGAGACCTCATCTCTACAATAAATCAAAAAATCAGCCGGGCGTGGTAGCGCATGCCTGTAATTCCGGCTACTCAGAAGGCTGAAGTGGAAGGATCGCTGGAGCCCAGCAGGTCGAGGCTTTGGTGGCCGGGAGTGGCTACTGCACTCCAGTCTGGGTGACAGAGTGAGACTCCAACTCAAAAAAAAAAGTCCTTTAGGGTACTTTGAAAACTGTTCCTCATAGAACCAGCTACTGTTGGCAGTTATATGAGGATGAGCAAAAATTTAGATTGAGCTTTATTGACTTATTTATTTTGAGTCAGAGTTTCACTCTGTTGCCCAGATTGGAGTGCAGTGGCACACTCACGGTCACCACAGCCTCGACCTGCTGGGCTCAGGCGATCCTTCCACCTCAGCCTTCTAAGCAGCTGGAACTACAGGCATACACCACCATGCCTGGCTAATTTTTGATTTATTGTAGAGATGATGTCTCACCATGTTGCCCAGGTTGGTCTCGAACCCATAGGTTCAGGCAATCTTCTCACCTCAGCCTCCCAAAAGTACTGGGATTATAGGTGTGAGCCACCGCACCCAGCCTAGATTGAGATTTAAACTAAGCGGATGGAGAGGTAGCCAAGTGTGGAACCTGCCAAAAAGGGTCACAAGAATGTCTTCAGGATGGCCAAAGGTATAAATAGTGGAGTTTCTGGTGAATATGTGGCCCTGAGATTGCAATGTGCAACTCACTAGCATCTCATTTTCTCTTTTCTTTTTCCCTAGGAAATTTCTTAAACATCATTTGCGAGGAAAGAACTGTGAACTTCTGCTGGTGGTACCAGAAGAGGTGGAAGCCCATCAGAGTTGGAGGACTGATGTGTAACACAGTTCTGCCCAGCCTCCCCTCGCCTCAGCCCCTTCCGTCCTCTATGCTGTGGCCTCTACAGTGGTTTGCCCTTGCCACTTCCCCAAACATCTCATCGGGTTTTTTCCCCTTCAGGTCTGACAGTGCAGTGGGACACGTGTGGACTGTTACAAGAACCACCCAGTGTTTTCTTCCGAGAGGAAGGTAGGAGCGCTCTGCACTCAAAGCCACAGGTTACAAACCCTTGTTTTATTTAAGAGAGGAGAAAGAGGGGTTTCTAGCTTATTTCCCCCTTTGTATGAGGACTCGACACAGTTCTGCTGGAGCTGTCACTGCTGCTCCAGACATGTCTGCAGATGCTGTCTCCACTTTCCCTTCTGTACACCAGTGGGTCTGAAGACACAGTACACACAAAGCCTGTGTGACTGGCTTGAAGAACCTGGAGCATGAGGGTCTCTCAGGAAACCATCTCCAAAACCCTAGCAGCAGTACAACATGCTGTCTCCAACCCGTCATGCCACCCTTTATCCCCTGTTTTAAGGGTGGTTTGTGGCCAGCTTTGGAGTTTTATAGCAAAAAGTTCTCTAATATTCCAAGCCATGTGGTTGAATCCTGCAACATTCTAGCTTGACAAGCATTAGATACTTAAGAGGCATCTCAGGATGTAGTTAAAGCCACTCTGGGACAGGCATGGGTGGCTTTGTTTTCTTCACTAATTTGATCCTATGAGTCCACTACATTAATTTAGGAGGCTCTGGGGTAAAAGACCAGGCAAAAGAGCAGTCTTTCCAGTTGACCCACTCTGACAAAATCAGAAGTCTGCCTTCGACATCAAATTCTGCTAGTTTGGGACAGAGTTGGTTGAGAAGAGTACTGTGAAGATAAGCTTCTCAGAGCCTAAGAGCAGCTAGAATTGCTAGATGTCTTGAGCTTGGAGGCTGAGTCACTATAGTGACAAGCAGAGTCCTCAAGTTGGTAGTTATGTGTATTATGTTAGAGGACCTGGGTTTTACCATCTTCAAGTATTGTTTCCTTTCCAAATCAACTGAGGTGTGACCTGCCCCTACCTCTTGAAATAGTTGTAGGGCACTTTTCTCTTGTTAAGTTTGGAATACAAGAGAGGGAGGGGAATTAAGTATTATACAACACACATGGATGTAGTTGCCTCAAGGCAGGTGGGCTGGCAGGGAAGACCCACTGCCCTCACAGATCGATGGTCTCAGCAAGTCTGAGAGCTGCACCACTGGCCAGCCTTCTCTTCAGTAGCAAAGCCAGCCTGGGGCTTGCATGTTGATCCTGAGCAAGCTTAATGGGGTGAAGCTGGAGTGCATGTTTACACCAGCACTTTTTCTGCACATGTATCTTCAACAAGGCCATTTTTTAATGCTGAGTAACAGGCCACTAAATGGCTACTGCATCACAGCCTCAGAAACTGGCTGCAGTCTCTTCTGCACCATTTTCTACACCAGACCTGCTTGGCACCACAGGGAGCTCTTTACCCCTGCACAATGACATTCCAACCACCACCAGCCAGAAGTTACAGCCAACCTTACTGATTGTCAAACGCAGGACCTTGGGTCCATTGGCACTGTCAGTGATAGTAAGCCATTTCCTTGGGAGGGGAGGAAACTCCTCCACAAATCTGCTTGGGCCTGTGCAAATGGCATTTCAAAGGCGTCCTCATGCACTTGGAGTCCATGAGCCAATGGGATATGCAAAGACGCTTAAGACATTTCAGGGCTGGTTTCTCTGTTCATATCCAATTCTGGTGCTTAGGAACAGGGACCCATGCCGATGCCCAAGGGCAAAAAGCCCCACTTCCTCTAAGGAAGGGAGCAGGCCTGACCCTGATGCCCAGTAGGGGGCAACCCTAGGCTTTTTGTTTTTCTTGCTTTTATTCCTTTTGTTGTTGTTGTTGGCCTTGTGCTGGGTTTGTTTACAAAAGATGTATTTTGTTTAACCAAATATTAAAAATGGAAATCTCTGTATATAAATCCCTTGTCTGCCTGAATTCTGTAATTATGTAAAGAAAAAAAATAAACTTTAGTATGATGCTGCTTTAAAAGGATTTCATCACTAGGATAAGTGATCTTTTAGAGGTAAATTGTGCTTTCATCAAACTTTTTTTTTTTTGAGTTGGAGTCTCACTCTGTCGCCCAGGCTGGAGGGCAGTGGCACACTCCCAGCCACCACAGCCTCGACCTGCTGGGCTCTGGCCATCCTTCCACCTCAGCCTTCCGAGTAGCTGGAGCTACAGGTGCGCGCTATCACACCCGGCTAATTTTTTGATTTATTGTAGAGATGAGGTCTCGCCAAATTGCTCAGGCGGGTCTCAAACCCGCGGGCTCAGGCAATCCACTCACAGCCTCCCAAAGGCGCGGGATTACAGGCTGAGCCACCGAGCCTGGCTATCATCAAAATTGTCTTTTTTTGTGTGAGATGGAGTCTCACTGTCGCCCAGACTGGAGTGCAGTGGCCACTCCCAGCCACCGCAGCCTCAACCTGCTGGACTCTGGTGATCCTTCCGCTTCAACCTTCCAAGTAGCTGGAACTACAGGCGTGCGCTACCACGCCCGGCCAATTTTTGATTTATTGTAGAGATGAGGTCTCGCCAAGTTGCCCAGGTGGGTCTCAAACCCACGGGCTTGGGCAATCCACTCAGCCTCCCAAAAGCACGGGATTACAGGCTGAGCCACCGAGCCCGGCTCAAACTTTTCAACTGAGAAATCCAGACCAAATATTTAGTGGGATTTAGTTCAAAAGTTGTCCCTGAGACATTTTTCAATTTAATTTACAAAAAGAAGGCTTGTCAATTTGAAGAACCCATCTACTAAGTACAAGCTTGTACCACACTGACTGGTGACTAGTGTTTTTCCCTAGTTAACAAGTGAAAGATGATGCATCCGAACAGACAGCATGGGCCCATCCTCCATGTCTAGACTGCATGTCAGTGTTCTGTAGTCTGCTGAATTTGAATACACATCTGGCACTTACCATTTGGCCTTGTACAATTAACATAATCTTTCCGTGGTTGTTTCCTCTGAAAAATGGGAATAATACCATCTCCTAAATTGTATAATATTGGGCTGATAAATAATCCACGTTAAGAGGCTTAGTACCATTACCACAAAGCTCAATAAAAGTTATATTAAATGGAAAAACGACTGGGCACAGTGGCTCACGCCTATAATCCCAGCACTTTACAAGAGTATTGCCTGAGCCCAGGGCTTCACGACCAGTCAAGGCAACTTGGCAAGACCCTGTCTCTACAATAAATCAAAAAACTAGCCAGGTGTGGGGGTGCACGCCTGTGAGTCCAGCGACTTGGAAGGCTGAGGCAGAAGGATCACCTGAGCCTAGCAGGTCAAAGCTCTGTGGCCATGAGTGCGCCACTGCACTCCAGCCTGGGCGACAGTGAGACTCTGACTCAAAAAAAAAGAACAACTGCATCAGACAGGACTACAACTGGATTCATTATCAGTGGTTCATCTCAGCCATCACTTAAAGCCAAGACTCAAAAAATTATATGCAACCCTCCCCCTCATTCTGTAAATCAGAAACGAGTACAATGTTACTCCCTAAATATTGTATATACCTCCAAAAAACTATACAATGTTGTTGGAGACTGTGTGGGTACACGGACCAAATCCCTTGCTTTAGGCTATTCAGGGCAAAGATTGCCATTAAGAAGTATTTGGCCAAAAATGATTTTTAAAAACAGACAGGATCTCACTCTGTGGCCTGAACTGCAGTACAGTGGCACGCAATCATAGCTCACTGCAGTTTTGACCTCATAAGCTAAAGCAATCCTCTTGCCTCAGCAACCCAAGTAGCCTGGCTAATTTATTTTGTTTGTAGAGCTGGGGGTCTCACTATGGTGCCCAGGCTGGTCATAAACAAAAACAGCTTTCTTTTTCACTTTTGGTAACTAATGTGGGCTTCTGGGGTCAATCAGTGTAAAGATGGAGGTGCTGGTTTGGTGAGAGGAAATGTGAGGGGCAGTATGTCTTTGACCTTCTGAAATGTTCTAAGTAATTTTAAGGTTCTTATAAGCACATGGATAACACTTTCAGTTGGAATCATTTTTAATATTTAAATACAAAAAGTGAACACTGGCTTTTTTTTTTTCTTTTTGCGTACACACACAGGGTCTAAGAGCCAAAATGTGCAGAGGAAATGAGCTCCCACTCTGTCCTCCACAGTACCATCCTGTGGCTGAAGCTACAGCCGGCCTCCTTCATTTTCAACATACACAGGGATTCATAGTGGCCACTTTACACTAGTAGTAATGCATTTTGTTTGTTTCATGGTGTGTGCGTGTCCCTCCCCAACAGCTCAATTCTTAAAAAAAAAAAAAAAAAAACAGTCATTAATGGTCAGGGGCACATCTCTCCCACTGGCATCTGTTTCTGCCTCACAATGGGATAGTGAGGAGATCTTCCAGTCAGGAGCAATTTAGCAAAAGGGGTGAGGTGGCCAGTGCTGGAATAACCGTCGGCATGGCTGCACTCTGGTATCAGAGTAAAGACAGTCAGGATAGCGTGGAGGGCACAGTTGCAAGTTGAGAGTCTCTACAGGAGACAATGTGAGGAGAATTCTCCCCACCAGGTTTAGATAGATCAATGTGCCAATGGTTAAAAAAAAAATCAAATCAGCAGTTCAAACACTACTGAATTTCAAAATTCTCCCACCAAGAAAGCTCAAATATAGCAGTAACAATTTAGATCTTTCCAGGAAGTGAAGGTAGAGCCCCTGGCATTCCTCCTGACAGCCCAGTGTTAGGCCCCAGAAGTATCTGGAAAAGAAAAGGAGGGGTGTAAGGCATTGTACAAGCCCAGGAATCTCATTTTCATCACACCTGATGGAGCAGACAAGGTCTACAAAAATGAAAGCACACTGAGGCACCTAAAAGAGCATGGGCTGGATCCCAATCCCTATCCGCACATTAACTGCTGGTCTATCCGGGTGCTGGAGAAATAACTAGCGTCTCCACCACTGGAAAGAAGCCCCAGGATCTGGTCTCACCTGCCGCTGCTGCAGTTGCTGCTGTTGCTCCATCTGCAACTTCTCAGTCTCAAAGACAACAGGAAGAACCAGAATCATAAAGGAAGTGGTCCCAATCCACAAGGCTGCCCTGGAAAACCTGCAGAGGGAAGGTAAGCATGGAGAGTTGCAAACAGAAACAGGCAAGAATGAACCAATAACCAAACTTCTCACTGTATTCTACCCACTCCTTGCACCATACTAGCCGACAGGAGAAACAGTTCTGGTAGCTGTTATCTGGTGACAGCAGGTTAACATTCTCCTGAGTTCTTACAAAGCTTCTTATACTCTAATCAGCTCATATAAACTAAAATGATCTCCACAACGACACTGCGGGGTAGGAATCTCCACTTTACAGCAGAAGAAATTGAAGAAATGGAGACTCAGAAAGGTTAGGGTACATCCAGTCCAAGGTCACTCAAACCCAGGTGTGCTGCTTCCAAACCCCGTATTCTTTCACAGCCACCCCATGCACACTTTGCCCTCGTTCCTTACCTGTACATTTTTTGAGCCACAAAGACGGAGAGATCAAAAGTGGCTCCGGCCGCAGACCGGACCCTCTCGGGAAACATCTCCGTCAGGCCCCACAGTCTCTCCGACAGGGTCTCATCTAGCTGTGGTGGACCAGGCGCGAGTCTTGGCGAAAGCAGCGGCACCCACCCCGGCCCTGCGGCGGCACGGGGAGACGCCGAGCTCCTCTGGAGCCAGGCCACCCGCCGGGCCCAGCGGGGCTCCTAGCCCCGCCTCCCGGAGAAGTCGCTTAGCCCCGATCCGCAGCACGCGGAGCCCACGCCCCCGAGCGGGTCCGCCTCCCGCCCCGCATCCCGAACGGCCCTAGTACCTCGTCGTCGTCGTCCTCTTCCAGCTCCTCCTCAGTCTTCTCCGCGTCGCCTTTCGGGAGTAATTCATCCGGGGACAGGGGCTCCCCAGCGCCGGCAGCAGCGACGGCAGCGGCCATGGCTGTAGGGGACACCGGAAGCGGAAGAGAGGAGGCGAGCTCAGCCGAATGGCGGACAGAGAGGCTCTTCCGGGAGCCGAGGCGCGAGCGGCGCCCTCTGCCGCGGGTCCTCCGCTCCCGCCAGGCGACCCACTGAAGGACTTTCCGCCTCGCGGTGCCCAGGTCTTCTTGGCCTCCAGTGGGCATGGGAAACAGCTGAGAGCTTGGACATTCCGGAGCGCTTCTGCAGTCATTCTAGCCAGTAGGGTTAGGATGAGCCCAGAAACCTGCCTTTGCACAAGCTTCCCTGGGGTCCTACTTTGAGAAACACTCATCCAGCTTCGTTTTTTCTGGGGGAGTGCATGGCTTGGTAGGGTTAATTTAGCGATTTGGAAGCTTACTGGTCTTTGGGGGAACTCATCAAGTAAACCGTCGGATGTAATAAAACAAAGGTAAGAGTTAACACAAGTACCAGTCGCTGGGTGCGCGCTCGCGGCGTGAACTAAACCCTCCAACCTAATGAGTAGGTACTCCTGTCCCGTTTTAGAAATGAGGGCACTGAGGCACAGTACAGGGTTGCTCCAGGTATTTCTAGAGGCCAGAATTCTGGAAGTGGGTGTGCTAGTCAGAAAGTAAGCAGTTGTAAAATTCTACTAAGTGTTAGCTAGTTGCCCTCCAAAGAATTATAAACTTTCAGAGTAGTACAGTAAAGGGAAGCGTCCTTTCCCCCATACCCTCCCCAGCATTAGGTATTATCCATATTTTAATATTTGGCCTATATGATGGAAGTAAATGCCTCACTTTATCATGTGAATCACAGGTTATTAATGAGGGTAACTGATAAACAACCTTAGCCAACTGACCCTGGAATCAGAAACTCCCAGGATTAGACAGTGCAAATCCTTACCTGATGCATGACCATGTAGTAATGAGTCTGTGTCCTATGCTTACATGCGACACGAGGGTACCGGGGCTCACATTTCTTCCGGATACAGTCCTCAGGCCTTCTTTTCTTTGGACAAGGCAGTTCTGACGCTAAAGGGTACTTACTGTATGATTTCAATATATAAAGTTCAAAAACAGGCAAATCCAATCTCTGGTGAGAAGTCAGGATAGTGATTCCCTTTGGGGAAGGGAGGTAATATTTGGACAGGAGCAGGAGAGTGGCTTCTGGGGTGCTGTAAGTTTCTATTTTTTTTTTTCTTTTTTTGAGTCAGGGTCTCTGTCACCCAGTGGAGTACAGTGGCACGTGCGCTCACAGCTCACCGCAGCCTTGACCTCCTGGGCTCGGGCAATCTTTGTCGCAGACTCCTGAGTAGCTGGGACTACAGGGACATGCCACCACACCTGGTTAGTTTTTTGATGTTTTGTAGAGACAAGGTCTCACTATGTTGCCCAGGCTGGTCTCGAACTCCTGGGCTCAAGCAATCCTCCTGCTTCAGCCTCCCAAAATGCTAAGATTATGGGTGTGAGCCACTGTACCCAGCCCAGGTTCATTTTGGGTAATTCATTAAGCTATACACTTAGAATTATGTTCTTTATTGCATGTGGTTAAAAGTTTACTTAAGAAAAAACAGTAGGCTAGCCCTGTATAATTTTGAGGGTTGAGCCCAGTGCCATCAGCTTTTAATTCTTTTATGGATTTATTGAAGAAATGCTAGAAGACCAACACTAGTGAAGGTAGTGGAAAAGCACAGCCACTAGTGGCTCCAAGTGGAGAGTAATTCACAGTGCTCACTTGAAGAAGTTTTAGGGAAACCAATTACTTTTGCTTATATTCATAAGAATAACAAAGATTGTTTTGAAAAGCTTTTTTTGATAATTATAAAATTTCCAAGGGATAAGAAAATATATTGGAAACCATGCAGTGCAGAGTATTAAAAACTCTGGGAGTATCTGAGATGATCTAGAAAGTGCAGAGTAAGAACAGAAGACAGCTCTGTAAAATCAGACATTTAAGGGTTGAGGAAAGAGAGAAAAGCCACAGGAGTGTGACATCACTGAAGGTTTCAAGAAATAGCAGCAGGTGACACTTGGTGAGACTGATGCCAGACCAGATATCACGGCAGTGGATGAGGATGGACATATGAGGGTTCCAGCAAGTACGTGGCGATGCCCAAGCCAGGAGCCGAGAGCCAAGGGGACTCTGCCATTGGGGAGGGAGGGTATTCTAGAACCCTGGGCTCCAGGCTGCTCCATTCCCCATGTCCCAAGTCCAAGATTTCTACCTTTCCTGTTCCTGTCCTGTCAGAATTTGAAACTGGGTGACATAGTTCTTAATTGGGGATGGGGCATGGATCTTTGAGAATCATGTAAAAGCTGTAAGCCCTCTCATTTAAAAATGCACATTAGCCCATAACTGTACCACTGTGCTTATGCCTCCCCCTACTAGCATACACACCATATGAATCCTCTGATTATTGCCTCTAATCCTGCACTCACACCCACAGAACTTTCTCTTTCAGCTCTTCGGTGACATTCTTTCCCTCTCAGCATAAAAATTCACAAAACTGGTGTGGCTACAAGAGATAACGTCAAGGTAATAGCACTGTTTACTTGGGTACCCGCCCTCCAAAGGTGGTAGATTTGGCTAATAAAGGTTTTGAGGAGGAAGAGTTTTACCCAGAACTAAAAAGGTAAGATCCTGAAGATACTATCTCAAAGGAAAAACAAAACACCTCCCTGAAGGAAATTGGGTTGTGAGGTGGTGACACATGGGAGAGTTTCTTCCTTTTCTCCTAGACTTCCATTATCAAGGTTGTCCTTGGCTCGTCTCATACCCAGAACCTGTAGCAAGCACTGTGGGCTCTACCTTCAAGTCATACCTAGAGTCTGACCACTTCACCTCCCTGCACCCAGCCTTGCCTTCTGATTCAGTCGGTTCTCAACACACAGCAGAAGATCCTTTTAAAAACCGATCAGATCCTAGCGTGCTACTCACACTAAAAAATGGCGTGCTTCTAGCTTACTCAAACTCCTTCTTCACTGCAGAACAGTTCACCTCCCGCAAGATGGTTAAAGTTCCAGGCTCCAGCCCCCTAAGGTGCCAATGGTTGTGATGGGGAGAGTCCATCTCATTGTGACAACCAAATGTGCCCCACATGATTCCCAAGAGCTCAGTCCTGGTTCACCCCTTCCAGCTGGGCCACCTTGCTGGACTGGTTTCTTCATCTAAAAAATGGGGATGATGACAACAAACCTGAAGAATTGTCATGAGAATTTGAAACAGGTGTCCAGCATCAAGAGTGCTCAATACATGGTTGCCAGTGATGCTGGCCTAGGCATAGGCAAACTCCGCTGCTCTGTGATCTGTACCTGAAGATTTACATTCTGCGTATGTTTGGATCCTTCTCCAATTTCTTCTTTATTAAACAGTCTCTCCTCTATCATAAAGTAATATTTGGGGCTGGAACCACAAATTATGCCCTTCAATCTATCCACTCTGGAGTGTTTGCTGGCCGCAGGGTAGACTACAAACAGCAGTCTCCATTCTTGGCAGCCCCCAGATCCTCTCCTTCACAGTGTGCTGTGAATTGGACTCTAACACGTCCGTGGTACGATTCAGAACCTCCCAGTTTCCTTATCTGCAAATAGACATGCGGATAGTTCCTGCTTCACAGGGCTGAGCTGCGGGGGAAACAGGCTGTGTGCAAAGTACCAAGCCCACTGTCAGGCATGTAACAGGCGTTCAGAGCCTGTTAACCATAGAAGCCCGTACCTGGTCTAAAGCCCTAGACTCCATGCCCCAACCTTAGCGCCCCCGCCCCTACTTGACTTCAGAGCTGGATTCCCTCCTCCAGCCAGAGAAATCCTGTTCATACTGACATAGGCATAAATTCCCAAGCCCATCACTAGGTCCCTGCCATGTCCTGGCCAGTCCCAACTCCCTGAAGCAGGGGGGCAGGGGAATTGGAGCAGAAAAACTGTTTCTGTTCTGGGTCAGCCTCCATCAATGCCCAGGAAAGCTAGAATGCTCTCCTGCAAGGATGACATTTCCCCACACCCTGAACGTTCTTTTAACGGAGCCACAGAACCATAGACTCGAGGCTCCATTTACTTCTTGAGGAAGTCATGCTTCTTTTGCAGTCACTTTGGCCACAGAGATTATTTAATATCATTTAATAATAAGGAAGTAGTGTAAACAGGAAAGTAACACAAAAATATAGTATTGCTGTGGAGGGCTAGTGTTGACTGCCAGAAAGCTAAAGCCAGAGGAGGTTGTGGATTTGGGGAATGAGGATTCTTTAGTGGCGGCAAGAGAGTATCCTGCCTTCAAAGGAACCAAGAGAGCCTTTCATCCGCGATCCTCATACTGGGTGCACCCTAAAGCAGCATGAGGGGATGAGCTGATGAGCTCCAGCTGCTTCTCTCGAGCATCTGTCCAGCAGGAGATTCTGTGATGTGTGCATCCATATGCTGTCATGGGTGGAAAGCACCCAAAGGTTTAGCAGCACTGCAGGCCTCTCTAAGTCTTGTTTACAGACTGGCACCCCTAGGTAGCACATCTGGAGCACCTTCCTAGCTGCTGCCCTGGCTTGGTTTCCTTCATTCCTGTTACCAACCCAAGGGTGCCAGTGCCTGCTGGCCCCATTGTACGGTGCTCTCTCCCAGGACTTCATCCGCTAGTCTGGCTAAAAAAAGGAAAAAAAGTTGCTCAGCATCCTCCCACATCTTGTCCCCTGTGCTTTCTCCCTACTCTCCTAGTGAACATCTTGGAGTCTTCATTTCCTCCAGTGGTTGACACTCTTTAGCTCATCCAGTTCCTTTTCCATTAAGTGGGATTCAGCAGTGGTCTCTGAAAGCTGAAAGTAAAGCAGCAAACTGTTATAAACCAGGACATTTCTGGGCTGTTTCAGGTTGGCAGGGTCCACCCTACATGCTCTGGAAAAGTGCTGTGGCATTTCTCTGACACTGCTGGCCTCCACAATGGGAAGCCCTTTTAACTGGACACAATGTAACCACCTGAAGACCCACAACCACAAGTACTTGAAGAACACTGACAATCCACTCTGTCAGCACTCTGTCACCTACAATTGCATGGCATGTCTGCATGAAGGACAGCAGGTCTCAGAAAATGAAAAAGACAGATACTGATGATTCCAAGGCTCAGAGATTCTCATTTAAGTTAATTCTGGGCTGTAGTTTTCATAATGGCAATTAGGGGGGAAATGCTTGAAAAAGAATGCCACTTTCATAGAATCTCCTTTTTTTGTGAGTCAGAGTCTTACCCTATCTCCCAGGCTGGAGTGCAGTGGCACACTCATGGCCACCACAGCCTCAACCTGCTGCGCTCAGGTGATCCTTCTGCCTCAGCTTTCCAAGTAGCTGGAACTAGAGGCATGTGCCACCATGCCTGGATAATTTTTTGATTTATTGTAGAGACGAGGGAAATGCTTGAAAAAGAATACCACTTTCCTCATGGAATCTTTTTTTTTTCTTGAGTCTGAGTCTCACCCCATCCATCGCCCAGGCTAGAGTGCAGTGGCACATTCACAGCCACCATAGCCTCGACCTGCTGGGTTCAGGCGATCCTTCCACCTTGGCTTTCCAAGTAGCTGGAACTATAGGCATGCACCACCACATCCAGCTAATTTTTTTATTTATTGTGGAGACGAGGTCTCGCCATGTTGCCCAAGTTGGTCTTGAACCCATAGGCTCGGGTAATCCTCTTGCCTCTGCCTCCCAAAGTGCTGGGATTACAGGCATGAGCCAACACGCCCAGCCCACCTCATCAAATCTTTTTAGAGTAAAAGGCAGAAGACATTCAAGAGAGGGACAGAGGCCATTACCATAGCCATTGCCAGATCATTGTGGCCATTGCCTTGCTAAGCTATGGTGTGGCCATGTGCTTCTTGAGCTATGACCAGGCCACATTTCCTGTCTCTGGCCCCCTCCCCTACCTTGGGGGAGGTGACTCTCTTTTTTTCTCTCTCTCTAATTTACTTTCTAAATAAACTATATTTTCAAATCTAAAAAAGAGAGAGAGGGACAGAGAGACAGGACCACTAAAGCAGAGGCCAGCTTACTGTGGCTCAGAGCTCCACTTTCTGAGCCGTGCATGCTTCCGCATACTTTCCTTGTACTAACTCAACTACGAGGCAGACACTCCTATTATGCCCATTTTATTGCTGAAGAAACTGAGTCACAAAGAGTTAGCCAGTGGTGGAGCTGGCAGGGCATCCAGGCCTTTTCACTCCAGAATGGGTGCTCCCACCCATACAGTATATGCCTGCCTGCCTCTCAATCAACCTCCACATGCTCCTCCTGGCCCAACAGGTTGCTGGGTCTACCAGCCACAAGAAACTGACATGTATCCAATACAAGCCCCTCAGCAGGTCTGTGCCATATTGATTAATGCTACTTGGCACAGGACACTTCTAAGTCATGGGTCAGCTGTTCCCTCCTTCTGGAATGCCTTCATCCCAAACTCCATTCCTGTCATTATTCTTTAATGCTCAGCTCAGGTGATCTTGCTCTGGAAAGCTCCCTTGACTTGACAGTATGAATTTCTATCTCTCTTGTGCCATGCCAGACCCTGTATAGACCTAACCATTGTCCTCCCCACAGGCTCTCATTATGCTCACTATCCATCTCCTCCTCTGGACTAGGAGCACATAAGGGGAGGGGCTGTGTCTTGGGCAAACTGGCACTGAGGAGATATCTGGAGAAATAACTGACTTGAGGCAGAGCCTCCCCAAAAGGAGAGCCCAAGCACCTCTTCCCCATGCCCTGCCTCACCATGTCTAGCAGGATGTCCACTTTCAACCGCAAGAGATTGTTCTCTTCTTCCAACTGCTGATTCCGCCTGCGAAGGCGCTGAGCCTCCCTCCGGTCCACGCCTCCACTAATCCCTGTCTCTGAAGGAAGGAAAGAATTAGTAGTTAAAAGGGAAGTTTACTTCTACAGTCTTGTTTGACAAACTGGCAGAAAATGCAGTGCACCTGCTATCCACTGGCCATTTTCAAACTTCAGGCTTTGCCCCGCCAAGTTCATAGTAGGGGTTCCATAGTCAAGGCCCAGCTCCACCTCCCGGAGTGACCGATCCAGCTGTGGGTAAGAAGTGGCTTCAGCAGGTAGCAGAAACAAACCATAGTCCCAGTTCCTCTTCCACTACCTCTATGATCCTGACAACTCATTGATTTTCTCTGATCATTACCTGGTACCTCGAATTTTTGTTGTTGTTGTTCTTTTTTTTTTTTTTTTTTAGTTGGAGTCTCACTCTGTCGCCCAGGTTGAAGTTCCGTGGCATACTCACGGGCACCCCATTGTCAACCTGCTGGGCTCAGGCGATTCACCTCAGCCTTTCAAGTAGCCAGAACTACAGGCGCATGCTACCATGCCTAGCTAATTTTTTTTTTTTTTTAATTGCAGAGATGAGGTCTCACCAAGTTGCCCAGGCTGGTCTCAAATCTGCAGGCTCAGGCAGTCCACTCACCTCAGCCTCCCAAAGTGCTGGGATTACAGGCTGAGCCACCGAGCTGGCCTTGAAAGACTTTTTAAAGCTGAGAAAATCAAATAAGGTACAACAAAAATTTTAAATTATGAGAAGAAATTAGATGTTTTCCAGAAAAGCTGTATATGCTAAAATTTGTGATGTGAAGTATTTTACATCTATTAGACACAACATTTTAAGCAATCCTACTGTAAATTTTCTAAAAATATTTATTATTTATTTAGAGAAGAGGTCTCGCTATGTTGCCTAGGTTGGTCTCAAACTCCCGAGCTCAAGCAATCCTCTAGCTTTGGCTTCCCAAAGTGCTAGGATTACAGGTGTGAGCCACTATGCTTGGCCTCCTACTGTAAATTTTTAATAAATGAAAAATGCTTGTTAAATGCAGTAAGTCCCTAAGTAATTATCTGCTTAATATGGAGCTATGTATGTTATAGAAAAGGCATAACATTCTAACATTCAATTAGTAGTAGTCGCTGTAGTGTAACTGTAGTTATTTTTTAATGTGTGACAATACAATTTACATATTCATTTATACACCTCACTGAGCACTCACCCTGAGTCAGGGCCAGCTACTGGGTATTCAGCGATGAAAACGACCAGCTCTGTCCTGAAGAGCAGCTCAACAGGGAGAGTCCTTCACACATATGCTCAGATGTCCCTTTCTCAGTCAGGCCTTCCTTGACCATCCTATTAAAATGACAACTCCATTCCCCTTGCCCAACCACTCCCTCCCGGGCCTAGGCTTTGTCTTGCTTCATGGCACTTATCACCATCTAATATAAATTTACTATTTTCTGTACCATTCCCCATTCAAATATTTGCTCCTTGAAATTGTGGGTTTGAGACTTCTCCCCTCTTTTGAATCCACTTCTGAAAACCCAGTGCTGAGAGGAGTGCCTCGCACGAAGCTTTCAATGAACGGTTCTTGAATTAAGGAACAGGGAAGAAGAGTTTAGGCAAAGGGAGTAGCATGTACAAAGGAGGCTCACGTGAAGCTTGGTGGCTGCAACACTCAGTGTATGGAGGGCAGGGGCAGCAGTGAGAGTGGGTGAGGCCCTGAAAGGCCCTTTGAGCCACTCTCAAGTTCTGGGACATCATCCTGCAATAACGGAGAACTAGTAAACCTGCTGGTCACCATACAAAGAACTGTGGGGGGTTTCGCCTACGAAGCTGCCGCTGTCTGTCAGCATGCATAAAACACTGTAGGGGAGGACCCACTTCAAGTCAAGGCCAGAGACAGGCATCATTCAAGCATGCTGCTGCTCGTATATCCTGTGGGGTTATGACAGAGGATGTCCCAGAGGTACAGCTGCATCTTTGACACGTGGCAGGGAAGAAAGGGAGTTCAGGGCCAGAAACTGAGATCCTAGACCTCTGTCTGGCCGCTTCACAGAATGCCCAACCCTGGCCACAATAGGGCTCCCCCTACCATGATTTTAACTGGGGATGGGAGACAATGGATTTCAACACCAAAAAGTGGAGTTAACGATCAGCTCTAACAGCCTTGCTGCTCCACACCACTCGCCTTCAAGGACTAGCTAATCTGCACAACTCTGCAGGAAAAGGTCAGAGAAACCAGGATACATCACTCTTTGGTGTGTGACAGTCAACAATGGTGGACTGGATTACAATGGAGATTCTAAAAACCCAGCATTTGGTCCCAGATGCTCAGAAGAAATCAGAAAAGATGAAAATGATTGCATATATGGGGTCTGTGTTGAGGACTGAGGGGAGGCATCTCGTAGCTGGGAATGGAAAGTGATTTCCATGTGGTCCGACTTTAAGTCATATAATGTTTTAAACTAATAAAACTTATACGTGCAAGTGGATTGTGAATGACTTTGGAAAGTTATCATTTATTCCGGTGTTATTGCCAATGCCCCAACATTTTTGGAACATCTCTTTTGAAACTGTTTTAGGAGCTGTGACTTATCCTTTTGAATGTCATTAGTGGTGGCAAATCATCATCCTTTGAAATGAATGGTTCTTAAAAATAAAATCAACTCCTGACCAGGTCTTGGGAAGTGGACATCAAAATGGATAATACCGTTTGGGGCTAAAAATAATAATGAAATTGAATGTCTTATTAGGTTCTTGAATAAGCTCTGACAATAAATCCCAATAGGAGTTTAAAAATGTTTTTTGTGACCAGGTGTGGTAGCTCACACCTGTAATCCCAGCACTTTGGGAGGTGGAGGAAAGAAGACTGCCTGAACCCAGGGGTTCAAGACCATCATGGGCAATTTGGCAAGACCTGTCTCCACAATCAATAAATAAATAAATTGGCTGGGGGTGGTGCCATGTGCCTGTAGTCCCAGCTACTTGGAAGGCTGAGGCAGAATGATTGCCTGAGTCTAGCAGGTAAAGGCTGCAGTAGCCATGAGCATGCGACTATACTCCAGCCTGGGCAAGAGAGTGAGACTGTGACTCAAAAAAGCTTATTGCAATAGCAATGATATGATGCCTCTGGAGGAGCACTTTCCACTCAGAGTCTACGCTTGGCACTCCACTCATACCACACACTGGGCTGATTCCAGTACCGACACTCACAGAATGCAGGTTGGAGAGAGAAGCAGACTTCCGAGGAGGCGTCTTCTTTGGACTGAATGTATTCCCAAAGAGGGGCATCTTTGGCCTAATGAATGAAAGGCCAATGCTCCCTTCTCCTAGGATCAGAAAAAGTCGAGGTTGGATCAAACAGTTGGATCAGTGACCTAATGCCGTTATCCTCAAATCATGAAAACATGCATTTTTATCATGCAGCTACTAACAATTCCAGTGCTATGGTTTGACTGTCCCGCCAAAGCTCAGACTGGAATTTAGTCACCACTGTAATGGTATTAAGAGGACCTGTAAAGTGATTGGGCCAAGCAGGCTCTGCCCTCATTAATGGATTAATAATGCCATTACTATGGGAGTAGGTTAGTTATCTCAGGAGCGGGTGCCAATAGAAGGGTAAGTTTCCCTGCCATCCTCTCTCTGTCTTGTGCACTTGCTCACCAAGTGATGCCTTCTGCCACGAGATGACCCCACCAGATATCGGTGTCATGCTCTTGAACTTCCCAGCCTCCAGAACCGTGAGCCAAATAAGCTTCTTTATAGATTACTCAGTCTGTGGTATTCTGTTATGGCAGCAGAAAACAAATTAAGAATAACAGGTAACAGCTCCCATGTACAGAATGCTTATTATGTGCAGGCAGTAGGCGAAAATCCTTACATGCAATGCCTCACTTAATTCTCACAACCATCCTCTGGCTAACTCCTCTTATTCTCCTCATCTGACAGATGAGGTTTAGAAAGTCTAAGCCAGGCATGGTGGCTCAAGCCTGTAATCCCAGCACTTTGGGAGGCAGAGGCAAGAGGATTGCCTGAGCCCAGGGGTTTGAGACCAGCCTGGGAAATTGGCGAGACCTCGTCTCTATAATAAATAAAAAAATTAGCTGGGTATGGTGGCGTGTGCCTGTGGTTCTAGCTACTTGGAAGGCTGAGGTGGAAGGATGGCCTGAGCCCTTAAGGTCGAGGCTGTGGTGGCCATGAGCATGCCACTGCACTCCAGCCTGGGCAATGGAGTGAGACTCCGTCTCAAAAAAAAAGTCTCGAATGGGAGCTAGTATTTAAATCCAAGTCTGTGTGGCTCTACAGTTTATGTTCATCACAGGCAAGTTGGTCACAAGTTGGCTTTACATACAGTCTAGAGCAGAGAACATAATCTCTACTTATTCCTGTATACTGGTAAGAACGATACCTGGAACTACAGCTTCTGCATATACTCCATTTTAAAGAAATGAGGCTATACTTATATTTTACTTCCAGATTGAAAACAGTGCCCTTCACTTGATCCGTATATCAGAAGTCACCTGTCCTGTATGGGAGGTGAAGTGTCTTGAGGAAGAGGAGTTCTACAACATGGCAGAGCTGACAATGGTACCACCCCCTGTACATTTGCTTTCGGCATATTGCAACCTATTGCTATCCAGCTAAGGCCCAGTTAAGTCAGTTTACTGACATCACCCAGGTTCTTGGGGAAGAAAGGAGGGGAGAGGTAAACTTTTAAGTATAACATAAATACAGAAAAGTCTACAAATCTAAGTGTAAGGCTTCATGAGTTTTTACTCATGAAGTTTTACACATACGTGTGCACACGTACACACACACACACACACACACACACACACACTCACACGTACCCACATATAACCACCTTCCAGATCAGGATACAGAGCATTTCTGCACTCTTCCTATCCATGGACAACTTAATATCCATGGACTTATACAGTATGGCCTCTTTTGTGTCAGGCTTCTTACATTCAACTGTTGGGAGCCAGCCGTGGAGGCCTGCCTGAGCGTTAGGGATACAGGCAGGCTGCGGACCCTGAGACCACCAGGCTGGTTCAGGAGCTGAAGGCCCATTCCCTCCTCCTTTCCTTGTTGTTTAGCATTACCCACTGGTAGGGATTTTAACGATCTAAGCATGAAGTTCTGAGAATATGACAGGCATGGCTGACTCTAGGGATCCATTGTTCCCGCTTCTCACAGACTGCGGTTTCGGCTTTAAACTTAACACAGTTCGAACTCAGATCACATTTGGGAGGCTTATACGTGATACGAGCTTCTTTATAAGATTTAAAAATATATTTGTAGAATTAGTATATACATTTAGAGAGCTGTTTCCAGCATGAGATGGTTATCTAGGGTTACCAGAAATGGCCCAGCACGAACTTTGGGCTGGGCCACATTCCTAAGGGCCCAGCGTCCATTTTGGACTGGGCCACATTCTTTAGGAACTGGTCTGACCTACAATTAAGAGTTTTTTATAGTACAGATAAAGTTAGCACAGAATAAGAAAGGTATTAGGATTTAAGTCAGTCATTAGGTGTGGGTATGCATAAGTTTTAGAAGTTATTGATTATTAGGATTTTATGATATTAAAACTGTTGTATTGCTTTTGAGGAACATAAACCAAGCATAAGGAACAGTGAAATAATTTTGGGATTGTCCTTCCTCATGCTTGGGGGAAAACGCCTGGTGGGCAGGGATGCCCCCAACCCACCTGGCTTTGTGTTCATGTAAACTCTTGTGATTTGATTAAGATTGTCCTTCCTCATGCTTGGGGGGAAACGCCTGGTGGGCAGGGATGCCCCGACCCACCTGGCTTTGTGTTCATGTAAACTCTTGTGATTTGATTAAGGTTGCCCTTCCTCATTCCTAAGGAAACGCCTGGTGCGTGGGGGACGCCCCTCACCTACCTGACTTTGTGCCCACGTGAAAGTCTTGTGATTTGACATGTGAAAATTTGGGATAAAAGACTAACGTTTGTTCCCAATAAATGGCTTCTGCTCATTTCACTGAACAGTTGTCCACTTTCTTTCTTTCTCTTTCTTCCTCTTTATATCTATGCCTCCATCTTGCTTTTTTAATATCTATCCCTACTACAGAATCGGCTTCTGCACTAGACAGAGTCCAGTCTCTTTCTTCCCTTCTATTCTCCCAGAATATTTGCCAACGCTGCCCCACCTTCCAGGGACCCTCTAAATCTCTTTTGGGGGGCTGGCTCCCCATATTCAACATCACGTTTATGAGATTTATCCTTGTTGTGTGTAGTTGTGTTTGTTTGCATTGTTTGTTTGCATTATATTACATGAACATATCAAAGTTTATTTGTCTACTCTACAGATGATGAACATTTGAACTGTTTCCAGTTTTTGACTATCAGAAATAGTGCTAAGAACATACTTAAACATGTATTTCTGCGTACATATGTACACCTTCCTGGTTTATACTTAAGGGTAGAATTGTTGTGTCATAGAACATTAATATATGTAGCCTTAACTGTTACTGCCAAATGGTTTTCCAAAATGATTGTACTTATACAAGTATAATTATACTTCTACCTAGAGTGTATAGGAAGAGATCCTTGTCATTTTCTGACTTTTTCATTTTATCCGTCCTGGTAGATATGTAGTGGTATTGTAATGTTTCATTTGCTTTCCCCCAATAACTAATTAAATTGAACACCTTTTCATATACTCCTAGGACACATGGATATTCTTTTTTTACGTCAGATGGTTTATGTGCCAACGTCACAAAGTCAAGGTTTAAAGGCAGCACATCTCACACACAAGTGTGGAAACCCACTGATGAACTACAAAAGTATGAGATACTCTCTTTTGTGACATGCTTGTTCAAATCTTTTGCCATTCTTCTATTGGGTTGTCTGTCATTTCCTTATTAATTTGTAAGATTGTTTATATACGCTGGATACAAATCCTTTGTTACATATATGAAGAGTACTGAAAATATATTTTCCTAATCTTTTGTCATTCTTATTGGCTTCTTTTGATCAACAGAGTTCTTAATTTTAATAAAATCCCATTTATTATCTTTTTAATTATTAATGTTTTGTATTCCTTTTTAAAAATTCTGCCTACCCCAAAGTACTGATGATTTTTTTCAAAATATTAATTTTGGGTGATTGTGTTGTTTTATCTTCCATATTTGGGACAACAGTTCATCTGAAATTAATTTTTATACATGGTATGAGACGGGTTAGGGTTCCTTTTTTACCCAATTGTTACCCAATTTTAACTTATAGCACACAAGCAGCTTACAATGATTCCTTCTAAGAAATCGTAGACTAAAAATTACAACAATGAAAGCACAAGTGAGCAAAAAGAAAACAGCAGAGCTCTCACTTTCCTACTCCTAGGTATAAAGTCTTTTTTCACCACATTATGAGATGAAAGCTGTAATGAGTTCATCATATCTGACAAGAAATTGGCCAAAAAGGGGAGGGAATCTTTTAAAGACTATTTGTTTTTTGTTTTAAAGCCACTCAAATTTAGCAGTGGGGTGTTGCATACCAACTTTAGTGACACTAATGTCAGTAAATTCTGATAACCCGCTGCTATTGGTCCAGCCTTCAAGATTATTTGAAACAAGGTTTTATATCAACTACCATTAAAATAGCTGGGTGCAGGTAACCCCTCTGGGTCCCCTCCCGCCGTGGGACCTTTTCTGTCCTCTCAATAAATCCTGCTTTCTCACTTAAAAAATAAATTAATAATAATAATTTTTTTTAAATAGCCGGGCGCGGTGGCTCACGCCTATAATCTCAGCACTTTGGGAGGCCGAGGTGAGAGGATTGCCTGAGCCTATGGGTTCGAGACCAACCTGGGCAACTTGGTGAGACCTCATCTCTATAAAAAATAAAAAATGTAGCCAGGTGTGATGGCACATGCCTGTAGTTCCAGCTACTTGGAAAGCTGAGGTGGAAGGATGGCCTGAGCCCAGCAGGTCGAGGCTGCAGTGGCCATGAGCATGCCACTGCACTCCAGCCCGGGCGACAGAGAGAGACTCCAACCAAAAAAAATTTTTAAATTTTTAAAAAATAGAATTCACAGTATGAATCCATCAAAACCCGTAAGACTGTATCCAATGAGAACACAAAGAAAAACTTCTGTGTTGTTTTCGTCGAGGGAGAAATTTGTCTCACTAAAATTAATGATAAAAGTTTAGACACTTTCTTGGAAGTTTTATAATACATAATTACATAAGTATATGTATATATAATTTATAGACAAATAAAAGTGAAGATATTCAGAGGTATTGCACATGACAGTTTTACTGTGTCTGTAATTAAAAACAATGGTAGGCTTACAACCTAAGGGATGGTATTTGGGCCTGGGCACAACACTTCAAAACCCGGACAAACCAGAATGCTTCCAGTTTGGTAGTGGAGGGGGCAGGGTGAGTACCAAGATGCTGAGAGTGGTTGAGGCTACGCCACCATCCAAAACACACTGAAAGGCCCTGACATTACTCTGCTGGAGAAAATAAAGGTTGGAAGAAGGAAAAGCATTAACCTTATGTCTGTAGAGGGCAGAACAAGAATAAATCAGGAGGAATAGCCAGGAAGAAAGACCTTAAAGAAGGGTACAGTAACAAAAGCTAACTAATGTCACTTCCTGTGTATCCATTATGGGTTAGGTTCAATACTGGGCACACTTCATATATTTCTTTCATTTCCTGCAGCCACCCTCAGAGGTAGGGATTTACCTATCCATATTATAGATGAGGAAACTAGGCTCAAAGAAG